CATACAAAACGGTCTGCAGAGTCACAAAACCCTCAAAAGTACACGCTGTAGCGAGTAAAAACTCTAACACAGAAGAAGACCTCCCCAAAACGCCTCGTTGGAGATACGTCATTCTCCATTTGATTCTTCCGGGTACGCATGATGTCAACCGTACCCGGAACGAAATGGACCAATCCGTGGAGCCGTTACGTTACGTCCGCGGAGCCGTTACGTTAAGCCCCCGCTGATTGGTCCAAATTGACCAATCCACGGACTTCCTCACACACACACTCAGTGCAGGCACGCCTCTGCTGATCTCTCCTCCCTGGCTGCAGGCTGATAACAGACAGTTGGGATCGCGGCGAAATTCTCTCTGCAGACCCATTCTCACAGCGTTTAACAACCTTTTTCTTACTCAATATCAAGCCACACTTATTGTTTTTACTTCGGCTGTGACTTTGTGTGTGCTCAGGATGAGTTTGGCTGTGTTTGATGTGTATCGCTAAACAAGGAAACCACGCCTCCACGGAGCTCAGCGCGATTCACAACGTACCGACCAATCAGAGCACACTGTGCTCACAGGGAGGGGGGGGGCTGGAGCTACAACGAGCCGTTAAAGGCAGAGAGTGAAATTCAGTGAATACACGTAGTTTACAGAGATGCTGTATGAGAAACCAATGTGAGTTTGGAAAATTGCACACTATAAATCTATTCTAGTAGACCTCAACAATGGAATTATGATCAGTGGAAATGGCCATGACATGGGACCTTTAAATGTAATTAAAACGTCACGGTTAAATGTGTAGCAGGTCATAAAAGTCTTTGAATATTATAAAGTTAATCACTTAAATAAAAGTGAAAGGAGTAAAGTAGTATGGTATTTTGGTATGGTATTAAAATGCCCAAAAAGCTGTAGTATAGTGAAGAAATGTATTGTATTGTGTTTAAGATAAGATAAGATGGTACTTTATTGATCCCAATTTGGTCAATTGTTTTTGTTGCAGCAGCATAAAAGACAAGGCATTTTACAATAAACAAAACTAGAAATAAACAAGAAAAGAAAGAAAAGAAAATAAAATAGAAAATATGCATGTTGAATAAATATACATGTTGAATTTGACAAGATATTATATATACAAATATATATACATAAATATATGACATGGAATATTAATATAAAATATAAAATATTCAACAGATTATATATGTATATTAATGAGAGATACATCATAGAAAGATAATAAAGAGGATCCACTCTAACTGTTATCTACAGTTTGACCTTTAAACCTGACCTGTTCACACCCCTGTTGAATAAATAATGGCGGCAAAGTCCTCACCTCTACGGTCTTGTGTTGGTCGATGCCGAGGCTGTGCATTAGCCTGAGGACCTGCTCGCTGTACTCCCCCACCCCAGCCTCTGCCTCATCAGACAGAGGCTGCTGGTAGAGGACGGGCCTCTGCACCGGGGCGTACAGAGCCATCCACTTGTGCTCCTTGATCTGAGCCACAGACAGGCGCTTCGATGGGTCGAGAACCAACATCCTGCGGATCAGGTGCTCACAGTCTGAGGGGAGAGGGAGAGAACAATCATAGAGGTGGTTTATGTTGGATAGGACTGAGAACTTTATGTATAAGCTATGATAATGCAAATTAAGTTATAAAGGGTCATGTCCTTATCAAAAAAGCACAGATGAGAAGGCATACAGAACTTGAAAGGGCTTAAAATCAGCTGAATTGTGTGCTTGGTTTTCACTTCTGAGCAGTGTGTCTGCACTCTTTTCTTCCTTCCTCCCCTCCTAATGAGAGCTCCTCACCTCTAGTTAGAGGCTAGATGAGTTTGACGTCAGACACAGCTGGGTTCTTAACGGGATTACAGTTCCCCTGGCTGTGCCGCTTTGGCCTGCCTGCACCCCCACTGCGTGCACTGCATTCCTGCCCACCACACGCATCTTTACTTTATACCCTGCTGCTGCAGTGCTAAAGACTAACCACTATGTCCTTTCCAAATGAGCCCTGCAGATGGTCATTATTTCTTTGATCTTCAATACTTGATTTATCAAGGAGGTTATGTTCTCCACTAAATGTGTTCTTCTAGCACAAAAGGGTGTTGAATGGGCCAAGTTAGATCTGGATTGGATCCAAATCACAGGGCAAATACATGCTTGGTTCACATCTCTCAGCCCTGACGTCACAAGCATTCATGGAAGGGACTGGGCCATAATTGCTGCAGCTGGCCGTGCTACGCTAACAACAGCAACAGTGCTCACATAGATAACAGCGTTAAACTGGGGTGGAATGGGAGTGGGGTGTTACGCTTCTGCAACAACGCGGTGGTTCAACAGCATTTTCAGAGTGAGCCTCTGTTTGAACGCAGTGCAGAGTGAAGCAAAAAATCGAGCCAGTGGATATAAACAACCAGTAAACAAAGCAACAAGTATATGATTACACACACACACTATCTTCTCTACACAGCAAATGTTCTGAATGTCGTTTACAGAACTTCTAACATGCGATATGTTGTTTGGTCTTTCATGTGCCTTTGCAGTTCAACATCAAATCAATGCTGCTGCTTTGCTCAAGTGACTAAAGTTGTTCTCTTTTGGAAGAACATTTTAAAATATATTTACTTGGACACTTTAGAGGCACTGAAAATAAGCGACACCCGTCATCATTCATTTAAGTTAAGTGTTATTCAACTTTCAGAGTTTACAAAGAGTTGAAGTAAATGTTTACACATTGTAGCAACATTCTTCCTTCATTCTCCCGCTCTACCAATGTCCACAGATATCCGGTCTTCTGTCACAGAGTTAGGAGACAGAGCAGTTCATAAGCCCATGTCCAGGCTGCCAACAGTAACTCCCAGCTTCACATTCTTCCCAGTTGCCGTGCTGATCTACAGATGTCTGCTTGAATCACATTTTTCCTACCTCGTGCCTGGTGGTTCAGCCAAATCATTTTTTGCCCCGTTATACATAACCAGTCTGCCCTTCCTTGCACTTTTAACTCATTCTTATCCCTGGTGAGTTGCTAACGTTACAACATGCTTCATATACAGTTCACTGCAATACACTTTCGTTGCTACAGCCATGTTTATAGCAACAGTTGAAGCTAAGCACATTCTTTACAGCTAAGTACCACCAGGGAAGGCTGGACTATGTAAAAGGGCCAGCACTTCGTAACCGTCTAGTTGTCTGATTGATTGACACACTGTTCATAGCCAGTACATTACACCACAATGACTAAACCACAGAACCATCCCTGTTAACACTTGCAATGTCCCAGTGGTGTAGAGTTGCAAAAAGTCCCCCAATGAAGGAGTACAGCAATCTGTTGCAAGACTTTGAAGGGCACTGTGGTTGAGTTTATCTTATCTATTTAATTGATCAGACCAATAAAAAAAAAACAGACTATAACCCAATATGTAAAATGTTACCATGATGCATTCATGTGAGCAAGAGCAAAACCCATAATACAGACATTTCTAAATAAAATGCAATCAAAAGATTTCAAACATCACTTGGTTTGACTTAAACTTAAAAAATATCATTTCAGTGCAGTAACTTTTACTTCCACAATGAACAGAAAAACAAACAAAATGCCATAGGCAGCTACGGAAGCAGTAAGCATAATTCCTAATGTAATTAGGGCTGCATTAGAGCTGAATAAATTGGCAGATGAATCAATTTGTTGCTAACAGAAAGCTTTTTCATTTATTTTGTCATTTCATATGGCCAACATTTAATTGAATAGAGATGTTTGAGCACATCAACCATGGACTTACAGACTTTGTGATGGACTTTTTGATAACGTGACTCCAGGCTACTCCGTGTAACTGTGTTCCTGAGAAAAGCTATAAAGTCTGTTGTTATTTATTATTCTGTAGTACTATTTACCAGATCTGTCTGTGTAATATAAATCATCAGGGGTGACATCAGACAACATATTATGTTGTTATTAAGTGAGTTGGGAGTAGACAACAACATCCACAGTGCTGAGATTTCGTTGTGAGCGTTCAGTGTGCGGTACTAGGCTGTGCTGTGTACCACAGTGTTGGCCTGTGAGAGGAGCAACAGGACATGAGATGGACTGTTTCTGGAGGAAGAAATAAGCACACTCTGTTCTCCTTTTTCAGAGAATAGGGGCTGGGTTGGGTAGGTGGGTTTGAGTGTCATTCTGGCCATGCAGCTGAGATTATACTCCTACATTCCCCTTTAAGTCCTAATTGTTTCAAGGTCCTGAACAAATCTGTTCGACTCTCTCACCACACCCCCTGTGGAGAAAGTGCTCGAGACTTGCAGATGGGTCCCAGAGAAAAAAGATGGGCCACAGACAGAGGAAGATCTTCACAGATAGCGAGCGTGAGTCAGACAAACAAAAAAACAGACAGACAGGCAGAGTCTCCTCAGAGAGACAGACAGGCGACCTGCTGGAAGGCTTCACCGGCTCTTCTCCAGGTTACATAAACAGCTCCAGCTCTAGAGTTAATCGGCTGCCAGCTAGCTAGCACAGCCGCTAACAGCAGGGCTGCTTTGTGACAGTTAGCCAACCTGACTCACTCTGCAGCCTGCATGCACACTGACGTACGTATACACATTACAGGGGACAATGACAGAGTGTATCTTACCGTATGCCCTTCAAATGAGCGTGATGCTCTCTCATTAATGAAATGACCCCCTGAGTGGTTGCGGAAGGTGGAATCCATCCTTCTGACTGGAAGTGTCTCTTACAGGAATGTCAAGCCTTTGTTTACCTTAGCTTGAATTATGCATCCCACAAATGTACAGTAACGCAAGGTACGGAGGGGTGGGGGATAAGTCTCTCATCTTATTATGTGTTCAACATCCCAGGGGGGCTTTTTTACCTTCAGTCATGAAATAGGGGATGCGAAACCTTCCTTCTAGGACTCTCTGTCGAAGTACAGGCAGAGTGGGCCCATCGAAGGGCAGCGCACCACACACCAGCACATACAGCACCACCCCCATACTCTGTGAACATGGAAAGATGCACAAAAGGAGAACAAGGTCAGGTCAGAAGCTAAATCAATCAGAGGGGGCCTGGATGTAAATAAGGTTTTAAGATTATTATTTCTTCACACACACAGAAACACATACATTTGGTAAATGATTGCCATTTACAAAAAGGTTGCCAACTGTGGCAGTGGAATCAATACCATATCACAGAAACCAAAGCGTCTGACTTAATTATCAATTCTTTGTTTTCATTGTTACATATTTATATCAAACACTTTACCAAGTATAGCATTATCTTATTTCATATGTAAGTAAATAATAACTTGCAAACAAGGAAGGAGGTTGATACTATTGGCAGGTAAGTTCAAAGTATGTTTCATTGTTTTTAGTGAAACATTCGGGTTTTTAGTAAAAAAAAAAGAAGAGGTACATTTTATCTACTTATGCAATCACTTAACTGACCCAGATATCCAGCTGTGGACCCTCATACTGTTGGCCCTCAAAGACCTCTGGAGCAGCATAAGGCGGGCTGCCGCACCATGTGGCCAGAGGCTCCCCGGGCTGGAAGAAGTTCCCAAATCCAAAATCTACAAAGGAAAAGACAGCAGTGGGGTTGGGTTGTGAGGACAACTACACATTCATTCCAAACATTTAAGTTGATTAACAGTTCAAGCCCTTGAATAACCCCTGTGCAGTACAAAAGGCATCCTGTAATGACTTATGAATGTAAAAAGCGAAGAGGTCAGGGTCCAATCTATCTGCTAGTAGTGATGTGTGGAAAACGTCAAACAGTTCAAGGAAGAAATCCAGATCAAAGGCAGGTTATGTCTCATGACTCAGAGTTTATAGAATAAGTGTCTCCTTGGGGTCAGAAGGTTTTGCATAAGGTAATATGTTATCCACATATTTGTACGTTGAGCTCTTTGTATGAGGTAATCTCCCCAGGAGAATGGAATGAGGTCATCAATGCTTTGCTCTGATTGGTTTTCTTGAGAGTCACTTAAAACTCAGATTGGATTCTTCAGAAGAACAAGAAAGTCTAACTTACACTTGCATAAAAACACAAAGTTACGTATGCCTTTCATTAAAATCAGAGCTGCAGTTATATCTGCTGAATCCAACAGAGCCAACTTACGCAAATACTGAACCCCCCCCACCCAAGTTCGTATCATTCTTCCTCCCTCCCCTCCCCCTCCCTCAAACCTTCTCCAGTGAACACGGCATCTACTCAGCTAACTTTATAAGACTTGCTACTAGTGTTTACTTCTGTTGCTAAGATTAATCAATTTGTGCATCCACAGAAATGTCCTTAATCACTATTTGGAAATTCATTCATCTTTGTAAATGGAATCTTTTCAATGTGTGAAATTTGAGAGTTTAAAGGATTCATTTAGGAATCCAGAAAAGTGAATCAACAGATAATAAAAAGGAATTATTATTATTCTCGCTTAGTTTTGTCATGATCATTGTGACCCTTTGATGTTGTCATGGGACCTGAGAGCTACAGGATCAGACAATTAGGGTCCCTTACCCCTCCACCCTTTTTCCATCATTCGAAACAGTTATATAAACAGAAAAAAATGCATTTCAAAATAACACACACACACACACACACACACACACACACACACACACACACACACACACACACACACACACACACACACACACACACACACACACACACCTAAATCCTCTTCCTTTGTCCACTTCTGCCTCATGATGATTAACAAGGAACAATCAACACACTGAGCCGGCAGCCAGACAATCTCACATTAAAGTGATGCTTCCTTATCAGCAGATAAGGTAGATGTTTTTTTTATTGATTGTGTAGTGAATAATATCATGGAAATAGATTGAAAACTACATTTTTAAGAG